CCCAACCCCAGTGGCTCCTCCCACCAAAAAAGAAAGACCAGGTACAACAGGGCCACAGACCCAGCCATGGCCCCCAACATCACTGACAATGGGTATTCACGTGGTTTCAGGTGGCATCACAGTCCACAGACATCAACATGGCTTCAGGTGGTGTCACAGACCACAGACATCTGAATGGCCTTCAGTGGTAGCTCAAGCCATGTACATCAACATGGCTAAAAGTGATAGCTTGGACCTAGGACGTGGACACGATTCTGGCTCTCCACCGTGAACACACAGCTCTGTTCCTCCATCCTTCCCACCCCTCCATGGCAAATTCAATGGTCACAATCACAATGACACTGGAAAATGCAGGGCATCAGTCAGTATATTTTTTTTGCCCAAATGGTTCTACCTGTAACTCACTCATTGCCAGGAGTCATCAGTCTGGACCTAGGTCTCTGGTCCCTGAAGCACCATAAGTACCAGACCATCACCCCGAAACTAGGATATATCTGCACTGCCCAGAGACAGAGTGATATTGCAGCTAAGCAAGAATCCGGGTTGATTCAAGGAAGCACCAGACCACTGCCCTCCTCTGAGCTCCTGAAATCAGCCACCCTAGGTAAGACCATTGTGCTTACAGACTATGAGCAGTGACCCAGCCCAGCCCTGCACTTTCCTTCTCCTACTATAGCAAGCAGTAGTGCCAGCTCCATGCTGCAGGCCACCCCACAGGCCAGGGCTAGGACCGACCATTCAGTAATGCCATGTGTTGTCTGCTGAAGCTGTGCTCCTGTATTGCTTCTATACCCTCTTCACCACATCAGTAGTTTCCACATCTATAGTTTCCCGGTTCTCCACGCCCCCTAGAGGCAGCTCTGTTCACCATCTTTCTTTCCAATTTCGTGAGTCCGCCTTTTAAAAGCATCTTCTCAGAGATCCATGACTAGGCCCCGGGTGGATCTCTGGGAGTCCAATTAGCGAGAATGAGGAGGGTTTATATGAGCGAGAATTGTTGAGACCAAGGTTGGATAAAGCACAGGGACAAATAGCCAAATGAATGGAAACACATGAACTATGAACCAATGGCTGAGGGGTCCCCACTGGATCAGGCCCTCTGAATGGATGAGACAGTTGATTGGCTTGATCTGTTTGGGAGACATCCAGGCAGTGGGACCAGATCTTGTGCTCATTGCATGAGTTGGCTGTTTGAAACCTGGGGCCTATGCAGGATTGTTTGGCTCGGCCTGGGAGGAGGGGACTAGACCTACCTGGACTGAGTCTACCAGGTTGACCTCAGTCTGTGGGGAAGGCTTTGCCCTGGAGGAGATGGGAATGGGGGGGGGGGGGGGGGGTCGGGGGGAAGGTGAGGGGGACGGGAGGGGGGAGAACAAGGGAATCCGTGGCTGATATGTAGAACTGAATTGTATTGCAAAATAAATTAATAAAAAAAAAAAGAAATAAAAAAAAAAAAGCATCTTCTCATAGAACCTGCTTTTATTTTAGCTGTTCCAGGGATACTGAGAGCTCTGCAGGGCCTCCATGGGTCCAGTGATGGGTGGCAGGGGCCAGCTGCCATCTTAGATTGCAGCCGTGCTTCAGGTTTTCATTTTTGGTAGCAACGGCAGGATCCCGGATCTTGTTCTGCAGCACCGCCTCCTCCTGGTCCAGCAGTTCATAGATGGAGCAGGTGTTGAGGCTGACCGACTGGATGTGGGCCTGGATGGCAGTTGATTTGGTCAGGCCACCCCACCCCCGGGCAGGCTCCTCCAGGAGGCCGCCCCTAAAGGGGACTTATAAGACACAGGTTTGTGTTCTAGTTGCAGTATCTTATGGTATCTCTGTAGGTTTTCATCACCAACTTGAAATGACAATAAAGTGGATAGCACAAAACTCAATTTCAAAAAGACACCAGGATTTCAAGCCTCAAACCAGCAGTGTTGTGCTCAGCTTTCTGATAGTCCATGCAGACTCAACACTGTGCTCTCCTTCAGTGACGTGTACTTCAGAACAATAAACAAGAAGGATGTCACATAAACTGTAGTATGCTTGACAGTAAGCCTTCTTGTTCAGCAGGTGAGACTTATGCACAAATTTTCATAGCTGATATTTTTCCTTTTCTGAAAAAGGCACTAATGTGGCAGCATATTCTTGCTTTTGGCTCTTTCCCAAAGATGCCATCATTTCTGCATGTGCATTGTTCCACCAAGGATTGTACTTCAAAAACTGCTCAGCTGCCTCATCTTCAAAGAAGTCATCTAGATAATGATCTGGGCCAAATTTGGCCAGGTCAGCAGCCACACGTTTCTGCCTTCATTCAGTCACAGGAGTGAAATCTGGATACTTAATATCAATAACCTGACCCAGTTCATCCTGTAACCACTGAACCACACCTGCCATGGGGTTCCAAATCCATACTGACACTGTGATTACAGAGCATTTTCTGAGACCTCTTCATAGAGAGTCTGCTCAATTTCCCAGTCAAACTCTACATCCTCATCATCAGCCCCTTCTTCAGAAACTCCAGAGGCATATATTTGTTACACAAGTGGTGTGGCCGACCTGGATTTTCTTTGGGCCAGAAGAGCAGTTAACATGCTCAACCCCTCAGAATGCTGACCAGGAGTTTCCTTGGGCAATCTAATAGTAAAACTTTCTTTATCTGCATCATCGGATTCCTGCTCACATTTTCTACAGTCCTTCCAGGAAGTGTTAATCTTAAAAAGTACAGCTTGGTGTAGAACTTGAAGACCACCCCCAAGTAAAAGTCGAACTCGAAGGCACACCTCTGGATGCAGATGGCAACTGCCAGGAAGTTGTGGTCCTGATTCAGCTCAAATCCACACTGGGAAGAGGGTTGGGGGTGTCAACATGACTCTGTGTGTGCCTGGAGCCACCATGGGCGTGCTATGTGCCAACCAGGTTCCCATATGCCAGATCCATGTCATCTGCCACAGTGCTTCTTGCCATAGGTGGAAATCCTTCCCTGCTTTTTTAATGTGCCCTTTATTGTGAGTTGTCCCTCCTCATATTCTGTCCATTATCTCTCTCTTTCATTCCCTCCCTACTAAACCTCCTATTCTAGTATTCTCACATTAATTTGGGAAGGGGGGTAGGAAGGACTTGGGAGGAGTTGGAAAAGGGAAAGACACAATCAAAATGCATTATATGAAAAAATACCCCTGCAAGGTCCCAGCATATGAAAACATCAGTTATTTCTAAGAATAAGGTGTTGATCTAAGGGCAAGAGGTGTATATGTAAAATGAGGACAGGAGAAAATTTGCTTGAAATTGTAGGTGTTAGATACCTTCCCTGGATCCAATAGAAGTTAAGAGGTTTACTTTATAAATAGGTTTATACAAAAGACAGTATAGATGTCTTTAGTAAGAGGGGATGAAATGTAAAGTGTTACGGTGAAAGGTGTGAAAATTCAGGCCACTTTCTTATTCACATCCTCAAAACACATCAAATGTGCTTTTGCCCAGTGTGTATAAGACTGGAGAAAGCTATTCTGGAGGAACTGAAAGGCCCTAGGAGGAAGTTGCGGGTGGTGGGTGGGGGAAGGCTATGTAAGAGAAGGAGAGAGAGAGAGAGAGAGAGAGAGAGAGAGAGAGAGAGAGAGAGAGAGAGAGAGAGAGAGACAGAGACAGAGAGACAGAGAGAGAGACAGAGAGAGAGAGAGAGAAATTTAGTAGTAGACCTCATGTTAACTCTCTTCCTGAATAAGAATAGGTAGAATGAAAAAAATTTCTCATCCCCTGAGACTTCCAGAAACCTTCCAGCAGACCTCTAATTTTGGTAGTTAGACTTGACTGCCTAGTCACAGCAATAATTCTTAATTGGTATGTGTAGTAAAATATAAGCTATACCATACTATGTTATGTCATGTAATACCATACAGAACAAGTCTGCAAGAAGAAAGTGATTAGATTAGAGTTACAAATACTTGATTATATTTTCATCCCTAGTAGAAGATTCTGTGAATATAAAAATAAATACTTAGTCTCCAGCCCCAAACCATGAGGCTTTGCTCGGATCATGAATGGGAGTTTCATCCAGAAACCTGGCTACTGTAGGAAACTGTCCTTCTTTGAGCCAATTAAAAGTTGAGAAACTTATACTACCGAGTAGGAGTGCCTATAGTGCTCAGTATCTAAAAGATTTGTATGATAAAGGCAAAAAGAAGCTTATATTAAGAAAACAATTATTTATGTTAGTTGACTGAACTCCCTTAAAATTATGGCTAAGAGAATCAGGACTAGACGAATTAAATTACGGCATTTCCAAGTTAGTAAATTTGTGACTTGGCACTCTTACATTTTTCATCACATCAAGAAATGTCCATCAAAGAACTACAAAACTCAATTAATTACTAACCTAAATTTAAAATCACTGTCTGAACCCCTGGAAATAAAAAACATAAAGCCTAATTCCATAGTGGGAATTATCACTGTCTATTGAAACTAAAAACAAAAGAATATCTACACATAATATTTACATAATACAAATATATTCAACAACTCCAAAATCAATTATAAAAGGTAAATAAAAGGTCTATGGCTGATGTAACTACTAAATTCACTAAGCCTTCATTACTGGGGCTTCCTTTCTTTGGACAGTGACCTTCCCAAGAGGCAGATGGATGTCCTTAGTACTATCTCCTTAAAAACGGGCACAAGTGATGCTAGTATGCAATGGGAATGCTTCACATGTGAACAACCGCATATCTATTGTGCTGGCAATACATAAGATATTTGATAACCACACTAGAAAAGAATCTTTCCTCCATGTACCTAATTTCTTGGTTTTATATTAAAATCGTATTCATCAAAAGTTTCTGTGGGGCAAAGAATAAGTCTACACAAATAAAGCAAATCCAACCTTAACCGAACATTACACACGTCAGCCTGAAACCACAAGGAGAGTTCATCCCGGCGTCATTGTAAACGCACTGTAAAATGAGTTGAGAAGACCCTGGATGACAGCGGAACTGCTCTCATTATTTCAGTGTACTCACACAGCTTTTGCACAAGCCCAGGACATAAGGACTCAGAATCACCTTTGATGTCTTCTGACAGATTGGAGATGAACCAGATTCCACAGGAGGATACTCAACAAGGACATCTAGACCAAATGAGAATAAAAAAAATAATAATAACACCTTCAGATTCTGTCTGTGTAGACCCAGGAGCAACTCTGAGTCTCAAAAACGCTGAGCCTATCAAGAGGATCAAGATCATCAAATACAGCTTTGTTCTGCTTCAAGTTTTCCTCCAATGTAGAACACTATTCTGAACTGAGTTTTCTATATCGAAAACTAACTCACTGTAATTTGATTACACTGGCCTCAGTTTCCATTTAAAAAGAGGTAGTGTCTGCAACAGTGCCGACTGCTTATGGGATTCTTACTCAAATATTTTATGAGTTTTACAGCCAGAAAGTTAAGTCATTAACAAAAGAAATATTTTTAAAATATTTTTTTTATTTTTTAGAATACTTTATATATAAAAAGCATATGTGCTCACATATACAAATGCCACAGAGGCCAGAGGCGTTGGATCCTTGGTGCTAGAGTCACTGGTAGTCTGGAGCCACCTGATGTGGGTGCTGGGAGCTGAACTTGGATCCTCTGTGTGAACACTGTGCACTGCACATTGTACTGAGCCATCTCTCCAATCACTAAAGACTATCCTAAGACAAGGCTGGAGACCAATATCCCCGGGGTTGTACTCAAATCTGTTAAGGGGACTGTGTCGCGAACACTAGCACTTGTTGCACAGCGGAGTTCAACTTAGAACAGTACCTGATATAGAATAGGTTTTATTTTAATTTTGATTTTTTTAGTTTAATATTCTTCCCCTACCCCAAGTTCCTCCAGATCCTCCCCTCCTCTCTATCCCCCCAACTTTAAGTTCTTTATTTAAAAAAAAATCCAATAGAACAATAAAAAAACCCAAGCCAAGAAAACAGTAAAACCATACACACACACACACACACACACACACACACACACACACACACACACACACACAGAACTGTAACCAAATAAAAGCACACAAAAACCTGGGTCTTCCATTATATGTTGGTCAGCTACTCCTGAACATGAGGCCTGTCCTGGAGTGGTTGATAGACTCATGTCACTCTGTTGGAGAAAACTTGCTCTCCTTCTCCCAACAGGTATAAGTGACAGTTCAGTTGTTAACCTTTACCCTAATGCAGTGCTTCTCAACCTGTGGGTCATGACCCATTTGGGGATGGAATGACCCTTTCACAGGGGTCACCTAAGATGATTAGAAAACACAAATATTTATAGTATGATTCATAACAGTAGCAAAATTATAGTTATGAATTAGCAAAGAAAATAATTTTATGGTTGGACGTCATCACAATATGAGGAGCTGTATTCAAGTGTCACAGCATTAGGAAGGTTGAGAAGCACTGCCTTAGTGGCTACATTTTCACTCATTGATTCATCCATCATTCATTCATTTTTAAATATAAAAAATAAAGTATAATAAGATAAAACAAAAATTATCACTTCAGAGTTGGACAAAACAACAGAACAGAAGGAAAAGAACCCAAAAGAAGGCATAAGAATCAAAGACCCTCCTGTTCCCTCACTCAGGAATCTCATGAAAGTACTAAACTAGAAGCCATGATATGCAGAGAACCTGATGCAACCTAAGCAGGGCCTGCACATGCTGCCTCGGTCTCTGTGAGTTCAGAAGAGCTTTGATCATGTTGATTCAAAGTATTGTTTAGAGGTAAGACAAAATTCTCTACCTGCTATTTCCTTTCACTCAAAACCCACATGTATTCCTAAAGCCATCTAAAGGAAAAGTGGGAAGTGGGAGGCTAGCTCCTGACCTTGCACACACCAAAGCCCTCCTCAGGCAACCTAGTGCAAAGGGAAAGTAACCCAAACTCATTTGCCAGTAATGAATTTAATTAGCTAATAAACCTGGACTAAGACGCCCTTTAACTCAAGTCACATGGTGGGTCGACCTCTGGAGCTAACTCTCTGCTGTTCACTGTGGTACTGCAGAAAATGAATCTCTACCCGTCTACTTGAAACACATAGTTGCATCACTCAGCAGTGGGGGTTAATTCTGAGAAGGTCATGAAAGAACAGAAACACACCCCCCCCACACACATGCACACATATCTGTGCATATCTCAATGTTGTAGCTGTTTTCCACACTCCCAGGGGATTTGGAAGATACCCTCAAGCTGACCATTAGCTACCAAAGCCTTATGTGCTAGGAAATCCAGGGATGACGAAAGGAACTGTCCAGTCCACAAACTGCAAAACTAAGCAGCAAACAGACACCCCTGGCAAACAAGAAACTAGGAAAGTGAGGGTAGCGAGGGCAGACATCACATCCCTGCCCCACACAGGCTCAGCACTACATTAAACCATGGGAGAGACAAGAGGTGTTCACAAGGTCAACAGAGCCTCTCCTTTCACACCTACAACAGATGTCTGCGGTTTTCAGAGACCAAGAGATAACCTGCTCTAACACTGCTCTATGATCTTGTGTTCTTCCTGTTTCGCCACTTGCACATCCCTTTTTGGTTTCATTTCAGGAGTCTTTTTTACTGTGTCATAGTTTATACAACTATACTTTTGTTCCCTTTCATAATTCATCTAATTTTGTTTGTGCAGTTTTTTTTTTAATTTCATTGTGCAATCCCTTTTATTTCCTGTTTCTCTCTCTCTCTCTCTCTCTCTCTCTCTCTCTCTCTCTCTCTCTCTCTCTCTCTCTCTCTCTCTCTCTCTCTCTCTCCTTTCCTTTTTCCATAGCATTACAGTAATAATACAATGTTGGTTGATAGGATTTAAATTGTCGGATTACCGGTTTACCCTATTGCCAATCTTTAGTCAGTCTTTGCAATTTTGACAGCACAACTTTGAAAACTTCTGGCATAAAATTGCCAAAACATATATAAGATGAATGGCTTCAGTACAGCTCTCTGGGGTAACAGGAGCACCCCAGCAAACTGATGGTGGCGTGGGACTTTGCTGCTCCTCTTCTTCCCTACTCGCCACATACATATGCCCACACACATATTTCTAATTTATCTCAGATTTTTGTTGTTGTTTTGAGAAGGCAAACCCTACAAGCTATATTTTAAAACAAAATCTTCTTTGACCTAAGAAAGTCTTTTTGTACCACTTTGTTTACACTGGATTAAAAGAAATTGATGTAAAGGAGAATCAGTAATAACCAAATACCCCACTTTCTCAAACATTTCCTCTTGCATGAGTCCCTATGATTTCCCCAAACAGCTTGGTTTCTGCCTTCATGTAACACATACATGCATGCTCTTATATATCTGTATAAACATTTTATACAATGAGAGAAATTGTGATATTTGTTGTACTGAGACAAACCTTAATTTATTTAATATAGTCAATACATTTTCTTGCAAATAACAACTCCATTCTTCCTGACAGCTGCAAAGAATTTCTTTTGTGTATATTTATCACATTTTCTTTTTATATTCCTAACCTAGGTTGATTCCATAACTTAATAATTATGAGTAGTGCTGCAAGAAAACACTGATATGCAAGTATCTCTGGGATATGTTGAGTTGGAGTCACAGTAGTAGGTCATATGAAAGATAAATTGCTCATCTTTTAAGAAACCTATACTGGTTTCCATAGTAGCTGGAGTATTCCACATTCTCACTGACAATATATACGTGTTTCCTTGTGTCCACATTCTCATGAAAGCATTTGTTATTTGTTTGCCTGTTTTTCATTTAAAATTTTCTCTGCAATGTATTATGATCATGCTTTTCTTTCCTCAACTCCTCTAAATCCCAAGATCCTCCCTACCTCCCTCCCAACCCAACTTCATACTCTATCTCTCTCAAAAATAAGCAAAGCAATAAATGAAAAACCAAAACAAACAAATAAACTTATACCAAAAATGAAACAAAAAGCCCCAACACACACACACACACACACACACACACACACACCATGGAATCCATTTTGTGTTGGCCTGGGGCCTATCTAAGATTGTGGTTGGTATATCAGGTGACACTTCATTGGAGAAAACTGATTTCCCTTTCCTAGAAGGTATCAGTTGCCAATAGTTTCCTGAGTAGGTACGGGAATTTGTGCCCACTTCCCCCTTTTACTTCTGGGATTGTGTCTGATTTGAACACGTGCAGTGCTTGTTCCAGCCTCAATGAGTTCATCTATTCACCAGTACTCTTAGGTCTCGGAGCGCTGTTTCCTTGGAATCATTCACCCCTCTGACTTTTAGTCTCTCTGCCTCCTTTTCTGTATAGGTCCCTGAGCCTTGAAGGGAGGTATTTGATAAAGGCATTCTATGTAGGACTAAGTGCACTAATGTCTTTTATTCTCTATGCATTGTCCAATTATGGGTCTTTGTGTTAATTCCAGTCTACTGCAAGAAGAATCTTCTCTGAGGAGAGCTGAGTAATACATTGATCTATGTGTATAGATGTCATTGGGGCTTATTTTATTGTTATGTCTCTTTAGCAAAATAATAGTATTAGGTTTACCTGTAGAACCATTACCTACCTAATCTCAGGTTTTTGCAGTGTCAGATATGAATTCCCACTCCTGGAGTAGGACTTAAATCCAATACAAAAGTGACTGGTTAGTCTCACTACATTTGTGCCAGCTTATCTCCCAGGAAGGTAACTATGGTAGGTCACAGGGTTTGCGGCTGGGTGATAATGATGATTGCTTTTCTCCTCTGGTAGCATGCAGAGTACCATCTAGCACTGCGAATGTTAGTTAGTATGGGTGAAGATTCTAGTTGGGCATCTATTCAATGGTCAGTAGAACCAAACTGAAGACCCACATAATTCCACACACATTTAGACACCTTATTCATACAAAGAAGACAAAACACACACTGGAGAAAAGACAGCATTTTCAACAAATGTTGCTGGTCAAACTAAAGGGATGGCTGCATGTTGAAGAATGAAATAGATCCACATCCATCACTCTGCACAAAACAACTCCAGTGGCTCAAGGACCTGAACATAAGACTGGATACCACACATTTAAAAGAAAAGAAGGTAGGAAATAGGCTTACATGACAGACATTCTGACTGATGGGAAATAGAATCTCAATATA